CCATATGGAGGAGGAGGAGGGGGAGGAGGAGGGGGAGGGTATAGAAGGTACTAAGGACTGCACGTGTTAGAGCACTGCTAGATACAACGTAGGATAGTGTTCCGAGGAGCATACTTAAACATCACCCGGAGGTAGATCATGGTAGTGTCTCCGAGGATGGCTGTCTTGAATACAGAAGGCCATTTTATACCACCAGGTCACCCTGCAACATGATGTTTTCCATATTCTGTGTACTCAAGCATGCTGTGTCTTTTTAAAAAGAAAAAAAAAACACCCAAAAACTATTTTTAAAAATGTAAATATTTATTACCAGCAACTTGGAAAATGGAATGTATTTTATTGTCATGATTGAATTTAGACTGGTATTTTGTTCAGGGTTGAAACACACAAATGACCCCGACCTGAAACAGAAAGGACTCTAGACTCATGTTTCCTTTGTATTCCTGTGGTCCTGTCCTATATTGTTAATTCTATTTTACAAAACAGAGAAAGTATCTAATATTTGTGCTTAGTAGGCAGTTGTCATTTTTTTTAATAGGATGAAATTCCTGCCGTTAGGTTTTTATTAAATTTCTGTTAACTAAATCCAAAGTCATCTTTATTTCACTATGTATACACGGCTTATTTTCCAGTTGGATATGACACCTGTGTGAATGACTGAATCGTAAGACCCAGTGGTGGGTAACTACAGTGAAACAGTGTTCCCTGGGCACGGGCAGTTACACATATGAATTCATAGCAGTTGTGACGGCATTCACAAGACTTAGCTATGTAAGATCAAGCCAGACAGAATCCCAGCATGGGGTAGGGGGATGGTCCTGAAGTCCCACCCCCTAGCTGAGGAGCTGTTGGCAGTTTTCTTAATGGATGTGGGACAGACATGAGACATTGCCTACACTCCGGTAGATGTCCTAAGCATGCACATGGACACAGGACTAAGTGGCCTCCCTTAAAGAAAACAAAAACAAGCACATGAAGTTGAGAAGGGAAAGTATGTGGTGTTGGGTGGGTGGGTGGAGGGGGGAGATAGGAGAGGAATTGTAGGGAGTAGATTTAATACATGTGTAGAATAAAAGAATTGAGACCAAAATTACTCTAAAGGAACAAAGATACATACTGATTTTACTTGATGCTGTGAAAAAAAAAACCTGTTCCTACTAAGTACCCTTGCTTTAGTTCTAAAAGGCAGGGTGTATCACAGACCATCATCTCTAGCATTAGTATATCAGAGGGTGTGTTAAGGTATCCTTTGGGAAACACCAACTCATTGGAACAGCCAAAGGCTTGCCGATCAGGAGTTGTGAATTTGCATTCTTGGGGACAGTTCACCCACACCCCCATCAACAGGGTCAGTTTTACTGTGATGCCAAGGTGAGGACTGGGGCCTGCTCTCCCAAGTGCTGTAGCTGGTGAGGGTCTGGATCAGGTTCCCTGCTTGCCACAGGTGGCAAGAGGGTGGGGGGGCATTTTCTCACTCATGCCACCTTAGTGGTAGTTGAGGGGCAGTGCTGTAAGCATTATAGCCCAGATGGGAAAGTATTCTGGCAATCAGGAGCCACAGAATAATACCACAGGTCACAGTAAGCATAACAGCTTAACAGCCCTGCTCCAGGGAAAGGCTTCCCTAGTGTAACAGCTCTGCTCTAGCAGGGGAGGGCTTCCCTAGTGAAGTTGTTACAGTTCAGCTCCAGGAGTTTCCATTTTGCTAAGGAAAGTTTCCTAGGCGAAAGTGTTACAGTCCTGATTGGCTCTGGCTCCTGAGACAAGTTGACAAACTGTTACTTTTCTCCTCTGTTCCATTCCTGTAAAAGAAGGTCTCACCCAAATCTCATTCAAGAGATTTATTGGGAGGGAAGGGAGAATGGCTGCCTCTGCCAGGGTGGAAGAAGACAGCAGCAAACTGAACAGACACACAAGGTTTATATAGGCATGCCGGTCTCCTGCTCAGTGGTAATGGCTGGTGTCATCCACTTTTAAGGTAGGGTTTTCTCTCCATTTAAACATGACTTTACCTGATTACAGGCACACGCAGAGGTGTGTCTCCTAGGGGTTCTAAATCCAGTGTGATGGTCTGTGGAGATGTTCCATCACAGCTGCTCACTCGTGTAAACTCAGTGTGAGCTCCAGGGCACAGTTGTCTATAACTTTTTATCTGTGACAACACATAACTGGCTTAGAGACCCAGGCCTTAGCAGAACTGTAGCCATAGCACAAAGACCAGAGCAGGATGCAGGCCCTTATTAACCCTTTAGTCCGAGGGATGTGACTGCCCCTCACCTTAGCCTTAGTTACAGGAAGAGCCATAAACACCCGCAGCACAGGGAGACACCAGTCAGAAAGGACAAACAACTCCAGGTGTCCTTCTGCTGAGACTAAAATGTTTCAACTTTCCTACACCCAAAATAGTCAATCAGTTCAGTCCAGACATTCCTAATCAGGGTTTGATCCAATCCCAAATCTAACCATGCAGTTTTGGAATCTCCCAAGCCACTGGCCACCCCTTGTCTAACCACAACGAAATCCCCTGCTGCTCAGAGAGGCCCTGGTTAACTCACAATAAAGATTCTACTTTCGCATTGGATCAGATCTCATGGTGGTCTTTTGCGCTGGGGTAGGGGTGGGGGCGCGACGGGGATGGGACAGGAGGGGACGTCCAGACTTTGGGCACAACAGGCCTTTAATTGGCAAGTGTGTACTATTTTATCATATAGTAAACGATGATAAAATTTAAAATAATCTTCAATGAGTAATAGTAAGTACTGTGTGTGCCGCAGCCACTGACGTGTTTTCAAGCTAACTCTTTGAAAAATGTGGGGCAGAAAAACTGTTGTTGTCCCTTGTAAACTTAGAATTTCTATGTTTGTATTTAATTTTTTTTTCATTTGTGGTAACTGAAGCAAAAGCTTTTCCATAACTAAGAAAACACATGTATCGGTAGCTGTGTATTCTGAAAAGTAAAACATCATAAAAAATACTTATGCATGAGTAAAGTATTGTGGAATAGAAAAAAAAGTTTGTTGAAAATTTTTACATTTTTTCTTTTCTTGAACATTAGTTGCTGACAGGGATGACTTACAGCTAATTTTTATCTTTTTGAGAAAGGCTTTTGCTATTCAGACTATGCTGTTCTTAAACTTGACTCTCAAACTTTGCATCCTCCTGCCTCAGCCTCCTGAGTGCTGGGATTACAGGCCTATATCATCATGTCTGTTTTTTTACTTTTAACTCTAAAGATTTATTTGAATATGACAGAGGCATTAGTTTATTTCTATTGCACTCCTTTTGTTCCTTTTGTGAGTGCTGTTGGGGTTGTCCCTGCAGCCACTGGCACCCTTTCCTCAATTGGGCACTTCTGAAATCACAGTGGAGTGGAGCCAGCTCCGTGTACCCAGCCTGTGAACCTCGCTGCAGAGAGAAGCTCTGTTTTCTGCAGCCTAATAGCTTAGGTACAGTTACTATGATAGCCTTTGCTCAAAACTTGTTTTCAGACTGTTTGCTATTCAGTGACTGATGGGGAATGTCCTTCTGTATATATGTTTCTCTTGTTGGCTGATGAATAAAACACTGTTTGGCCAATAGAGGCAGGAAGATAGGCAGGACTAGGAGACAAGGAAAATTCTGGGAAAGGTAGGGAGAGAGAGACGGGAAGAGAAGCCTTGTAGTGGAGGAAGGAGTAACAGGTCCGGACCCTTCTCTGGTAGGATAAGATCACATGGAAATACTTAGATGAAAAGAAATGGGTTAATAATTAAGGCAGAGCTAGCCAATAAGAAGCCCTAGCAATTGGCCAACAGTTTTATAATGAATATAACGTCTGTGTGTTTATTTGGGGCAAGGCGATTGCTGAACCTGGTGGGACAAGAAACACCAGCAACAAATGCTTGTGCTGGCGGTAGGGTGACTTGGGACATTTATGGTGGAAGATCATCACATGAGAATGTTGTAAATGGATTGAGTACATGGAGACTGGTGATGAATAGCATTTCACTGTTCACTAAAACCTAATACCTTTTTAGATATTTTCTCTTTGTTTCTTGGGTTTTTAATTTCATGTTTTTTCTATTTTTACACTTTCAGCTCCCCTTTTTTCCATGTCTTTGTCCAGCTTGTGGCACCTATGAGCACCTATGAACATGATCTTATAGAACTGAATTAAATAACTGAACTTTCCTCTGGGCTGAGAACATCAGTGCTGTTGGACCACATGGACTGATGTCAAAGCTGTTCATTTAGCTGTTTCCTTGTACTCTGTAGATTTAGAAAAACTTGTCTTATTAAATAGAAAATACATAATATCTAATTCAAAAACATCTACCAGTACTTGTGGCAAACATCAAAAGGATTTATAGCCAGAAAATGTCCTGAGCAATGTATGTCTCTTTACCATGTGATTTGCGGATTGGGAAAGAGGGTGGATGAGAAGAATTTTCGTCTTTCCTGCAGGGTCAGCTTGTCAGGGTGATTTCATTATATCATATGAAATACTATGAGCTTTTTTTTTTTCCTTCCCACTCCCAAGAACACTTAATAGAATGGAGTAGTTTGAATTACAGTAAAAATTCAAATGAAATGCATGAAGTTAAGAACCACAAGTCCTTGAAGTTGTAGGGATCCAAATGTCTTTTATCATATAAATAGTAGACACAGAAAACTTACAATAGGTATCAAAAATTTTACAGTCTGTACACTTTTTTCTTGCAGCTTTTACATTATACATCTTTAGACAGAATTTCACAACATGGTCAGTAAGGAGGTGAGTCAGTCAACAGAAAAGATGAGAAGCAACATCGCTATTATTGACAGGATCTGTCCTTGTTTTGGCAAACACAGATCTGCCCGAACATTTCAAGCAGTATAGTAAACAAAACTCTTGTGTAGTAAGCCCAACTTTGTTCCGTTGTATCAGTAGATCACACCTGCTCCTACAGCTCTGCAGGAACAGAGCCAGTGCAGACTCCAAACATCTTTAGTCCTAGCTGGACCATAAGAATCTGATGCGATTACTGCCTCGTGCTGTCTTTTCTCTGGGTTCTGCAGAGCATAAGATCACCTAGCCGTGATAAATGACCAGAGCCCTCTGAATTCCTATGTTACAGGCTATTTACATAAAAACTCCTTGGAGGTCTTTACTGGGGACAAGGAATAAGAAAAAGACAATGTTTAAAATTTTGGCTATACACTTGTACTGGTTCATAGCAGAGGAAATTATCCATAGTGAATAATATAAATTTTGAGGTCTGCCTTTACTCCATATAATTGTTCCACATTATATTACACCTGCTAGAGGTGTATTGCCAAGGGGTAGCTATGCTTTGAGAATTTCTGAGTTTGGATGTAGAACAAGGATAAAATTGGGTGTAAAGTGGTTGGTTGAATTGTCTAGTGAGACTTTAACCACCAGCCAGTTCTTTGTCACTAAAACTCCACCAAGAGGGACACAAATGGGCAATTGCCAAGCAAACTTTAGTGATCTTAGTACTTTAGGGGCAGCACCACATACAGTTCCAACTCCTCTGGAGACTGGGTGCTGCTGGCTGTAGGTTTGGAACTCATTTTGTGAGATGGTGCTCTCGGAAGTTGTTCATCCTGTGTATGGACCACAAGTTAGCATGGTGCCAGACCTTCCAAGCATGGAAGCAAAGTCTCCCCCAAAAGGACAGGATCAGATGAAATGTGTTTGAAAGCTAAAAGGAAGCTGACAAGAGAGTTTGTGAATAGCTTCCCCGGCAACAAGTCAAACACACTGGTTTTTAACCTTCATGATAGAATAATCAGAGACCGTTACTCATGGGTTTGCAAAACAATACAATTTATATTGTTAGCAGTTTGTCTTATAACGAACAGGACTCTATTTGTGAATTTGTGTAAATGACTAAAAGGTGTTTGCTTCACGTCTGCATTCTCTAAAGGAGAAAGTCCAAGCTACATGCATGCCTGCTACTGTATATACATATTCTGTACATATATGTACATGCTGTCAGCTGTTTAAGCCATCGCTTCCGTTAGCTTACTTCTAGATAGTAAAAGTGAAGACAGTTTAAGCACAAATTCCGTTCAAAAGAAAACCTTAAGATAGTTTTCAAAAGAGTGAGAGAGAAACTCGAACATGAAGAATTAAACACTGTCCACAGACCATTTCTTTTAAAAAGTCACAGATTCTTAATTGTACTCACTAGAGAATATCTGGACAAACATGTTTATGTTGTCTTAGCTAAGTAACTGTGTATGACATGGTAATTGCTGTTTGTGGATAGTGAGATTTAGTTTGTATTTCATGATGACTAAGACCCAGAGCTATGAGTTGACCTGCAATTGGATAATGTCAAGTTCAATTAAAAAGCCCTGGATTTATAACCAGGCTACATCTCTAGGAGTTCACTTCTAGATAGATATGCTGATGTGCCTACAAGCAAGGGAGGGAGGAGGGGGAGCAAGTGAGGATGGACCGGGAAGGAGGCTCTTGATGGGACCTGAGGTAGTGAAGTGGGGATCCGTTTCACAAACAAGGCAGGCATGTCAAAGTCACCACTTTTAGGGTATTGTTTCTATTATGAACAGACTTTGGGTAGAACAAAGTAAACACCTCAGTTTGCAGAAACCCTGGGGAAGGCAGCAAACAGCTTCTCCAGGGGCTTTTTATCGACAACTCAGTAAACGACTCAGTAAAGCAGGCTGCCCGAGACACAACCAGGAAACTATGGTCTTATTTTAGCACTCGTTTGGTATTGGTTCCCATAAAGAAAGGAAAAGCTTCTAATACGAATGCTCAAAGCTTTACATACTTGAGCTTTTCTTCCCATTGAGTCAACTGGCTGAAAACCAATGACTATGTTAAGAATATTCTAGGTTAAAAAAAAATTAATGACACAATAGTGACTGCTTTTCCCCTTTTCAAGACTGTTAATCCGAAGTTGCCTGTACCTCTGCAGTCAGTTTCTGAAGTGAGATCCCAGTATACTCCTCCACAGATTCTGTTCCTTAGATTTCTGGATTAAGAACAATCACCCCGATCCATCTGTGCTATGACATGATTGCTTTTTGCAAGCTGAAGGGACTCTATTTTCTTCTGTGCGTACTTCAGTTGGATCTTCAGGGCATCATTATCTGCTTTCAGGGTATTTATTTCCTAAAGGGAAATGAGAATAAGGCATGTTAATAGAGAGGCTGTGAGTGGGAAGTCACTTACAGTATCAAGAGTATTAGATTTGATTGGCGTCTCCTATTCACTGTGGTTAAGAATTATAAACTATTTTCAAAGTAGTTATTTAGCTGTGAGTATAAAATACCACATTAACTATCATGGACATGTGCAAACAGCAATTACTCTTTGTCATGATATCACAGATGCAAGTGGCTAGCAGACAGAATAATCCACTCTTGGGAAGGGGGTGGAGGAATACACAACCTTTGGATAGTGTGTAGCAGACAGAAAGTGGTCTATGGTCTGGTCTGCTCTGAACTATGAAAGCAGTGCTTCAAAACTCTGCAAAATGAGATGTTATAGTTAATTTAACCTGGTTCAGCACCCCCACTACAGATAACTAATGTGCCTTTTTTGGGGGGAAGACTTGTTCTCATCCTCAAACTGGGATTTCGTGTTCTATTGGCAGTAATTTAACTATACAGCCATTGGTTCATCTCCAGGCTTCTGGTTTTGAGGGAAGTGTCCTCATGTCGGACTGACTTACATGGGCATCAGAAAATATAGGTGCAATGTCTGGTTAACTGGGTCCCCTCTGGGTTCTCAGTCTGAATCACCCAGAGTGCTCTCTACCAGCTTATGTGGGATTGAGCATTGCAGTGAGCTCACCACCGCTGTGTGATAATAGAACGCTGTCTGATAGTAGGGTAGCTTAATCCTCGTGCACACCCTGGAAATCAGTGGTGGCTTATAGGAGCAGAAAGTGCTCACACATAGTTCTAGAGCCCAGGCACATCTGACCCAAATGTCTTAATTTCCTTTTTTATTTGGTTCCATGCTGATTCAGTTATGGCATGAGCTAAAATAACACATTATTTTAATATGTATTAAAACACACAGCTGTAATCAGCTGTCCTTGTAGCATGCTATTTTAAATACTGGTTTAACGGAACTCCTTCCTTGTGGTGAGGGTTGTTGGATTAAACACTAGTCATTGCAGGTTCCTAATGGAAAAATAGGGCACACTGTTTCTCTAAAACACTCATGGAGAATTCTGGTCCTCGGGTCTCTGTGATTCAGGTGAAAGAAAAGAGAAGCAACTAATAAAACATCAGGAATTATGGCCCTGATGACTGGGTGGGGATTTTTTTGTCACCTGTTTCTCATAGTATTTTTCACAACTATATTACTACCCTTAATCGGCATGTCAGATTTGAAACCTCAGCATGGACTTCACAGAGGACCAATCAGGTTGCAGTATTTAACAACTGGCATAAAAAATGTCTGGGATTAGATCCTCACACTTAGGAGGCAAAAGCAGGCAGATCTCTGAGTTTGAGGACAGCCTGGTTTACAGAGTGAGTTCCAGGACAACCAGGGGGCTATATGGAGAAACCCTGTCTTGAAAAACCAAAACCAAGCCAAACAGCAATAAACAAAAACAAACAAAATGAAATGCCTTAGTGTCTCAGACCAAAGTTCCCCACTTATATCATGTTTCCTTTTCAAGATTTTTTTTTTATTCTTCTAAGAGGCAACATTCAGCAATTTCTCTTCCTAAGGTAACTCAAGGGTGGCTTCCTTCTGATTAACTTGTTTGCTAGCATGAATTTTAAAGGTACTTTGGGTAAAAGACATGCTTTCTTCCTGCAAACCTGTTGCTCTTTTGTCCTCCTGATACCCTGTTCTTCATTCCAGTCACCAAATCAAGTCATAGACATTGTCTAGCACACAGCTCTCTGATTCTCCTGGGGGCCTGGCAGGGAAGGAACCTCACTGGTAATAATGTTGAGCTGTTGAGTGTCCTGCAACCCTGCCGGTGGGCAACTTCACTGTCTATTATGCCAATAAGCACATTAAGCTAGGTCATGGTGGGCTATGTACTGTTGGGAGGACAGGCCTCCTAACATGATACAAATCTTGTTGTGTGAGGGGAAAAGGTCAGGAAAACATAGTAAAATTAAACACCATTAAAGCTAATGTCTCTTTCTTCTTTGATACTAAAATGGCTTAGATTACGTACATTTGGCAACTTTTCTCCCTTGTTTGCTTACTTAACCTGCTAGTAATCAGGTTCAATCTTCACGTTTAGGCTTTTCCCTATTGCATTTTACTTCAGCAGGAGAGAGAACAAAGGGAGGGGACAGTGAGAAGGGAGGCACCTGTTCCAGTTCTTGGTAGGTCCGGAGCCGGAGGTGAAGCTCCTGTTTCGGTTTTATAAGCGATTCTTTGTTCTCCCACTTGACAAATGCCCGCTTTCGGAGCAGCACTGGGCTGGGGCATGGTGACGTGGGACTGGGAAGCACAAAAAGAGCATCCTGTGGTGGTTTCCTTGGGGAAGACAGCACGAAGTGACCAGCAGGCACCTCGCCGCCCACCCAAGGGAACGACTCTGTCTGGGTGGTCTTGTGGGCAACAGTCCTCTTCAGCCGAACCGAAATCTTCTGTGAGGACACGCCCAGGAGCATGATGGTCCGATCCTTGCTCTCCTCACTGTGGTCCACAGCCTCCCCATTTTGAAATATAAAAGATCCCTCCTCAGGTGCTGTGGAGAGATACATTTGTTAGTGCTCTCAGACAATGATGAACTCAAGACTCTCAACATCTGTTTCAGATGAGACCTTTCTTATGTCAAGAGTTCCACTTCTAAGTGGTTTGTTTTAGGACATGCAATGTCAGGCATGAGTAGAAACAGAAGACTAGGGATTTTGTGTCAGGATCCATCCACACCAAGGAAAGAACATCTTTTCTTTTTCTCCTTTTTAAAAAAAAGATTTAAAAAATGTGTATGATGTTCTGCCTGTATTACGTATGTATGTGTGTGTGCATGTAGACCTTGGAGGTCAGAGTGAGTGCCCTTGGAGGTCAGAAGAGGGTTTGGGATCCCTTAGAACTGGAGGTACAGGTGGTTGTGAGATACCATGTGGGTGCTGGGAACTGAATCCAGGTTTCTGCAAGAGCAACACGTGCTCTTAATCTCTGAGTCATCCCTCCAGCTCCCAAAGCATCTTTTTCTATTTGCACAACAGTTACCTGGATAGTTACTGTTCCTGCCTCGACGTAGCAAGGTTTCCTAGCAAGTCTAAAGACATCAGGATAAACATATAGACAGAATGTCCTGTATGTGCTTTCTCTGGACTCTGGGGAGAGAGCTGTTACTCAGAGTTTGAGCCAGGTACTGGGAGTGCTACTCAAGCAGATGGACAGCAGGGACTCTGTGGGACTCACTTGTGTGATTGGTATAGATTAATGATGAGGCGGCAGGATTAGCTTTGTGGACGTGTATTCTAAAATGTATCACCCTTATTTGATTCCGCAGGGGTAAGGACAAGCCAGCCATCTGGTTTTCTTTTAGTCAATATTCCTGCCTGGAACTATTAACTGGAAGGAGTAATTTCCTGAGAAAGCAGAGAGTACTAGATGAATTTGAGATGGGTGGGAAGATAAATTGGAGGTCATCCAAGTTTATCTTTCGCAAAGATTTAGCACTAATTTGAGCTCTATGCAAAGTAATTAGGGTGCCAAGCAATAATACATCATTTATTAATAAACATATTTTGGATTCTGTTTATTTCATTGAATGGAGATGAAAATACCCTACTTTCCAGAGCTTGGGGAATAAAGTGATTTTATGTATAAGACAGGTTTTTGTATCTTTTGGACATACATTTGTATTAAAACCATACATTTTTTTATTGCTGAATTTAAAAAGGGATTGTTTTATGTCTGTGTGCAGAGGCATGTATGTGCCTGTCTGCTTCAGTCCTGGAGGCTAGAAGAAGGTCTAGGGCATTCTTTATTACTTTCCATCCAGTCTCCATATTCTTATCCTTTCTCATTCATGTGACAACATCCATCCCATACAATGCAGGACCTTCAGCAAATTTGACTCAAACATACTGAGTCACTCCACAGAACCAAGGCTGGTGCACAGGGCCACTTCCTGCTGACCAGTTCAGTGGAATGACTTTCAAATCCCAGAGACAGGAGTGATCAGGTGCTCTGACCCACAGAGCTGACCAAGGTCAGATGGCATGTCCTTTCTCCAGATGCCTTCTGAGTACAGCACCCCTGAGCTTCACAAAATGATGTGGGTTCTTTCCCAAAACTGGCTGCAAGTTAGTTTTGTCTAGTTTGGTAAAATCCTATGAGGGTTGTGTGATTCCACACCAGCCAACCTCACCAGAACCCCACTGGCAAGTTTGTCAGGACACTCTTGATTTAATGCTGTACAGAGAGACTCCCTTTCCTGTGGCTGGAGCTGGAGTATTAGGTATCAAGGCACCTCTTTCTCGTACTACACCCACCCCGGGTCTCTAAGTCTTATGTTCCCCTATTCTGCTGCTGTTTTCCCATTCAATCTAAAACTGTGTTTATATACCTGTTAAACAGTTATAAACTTTAGTGTGTGTGTGTGTGTGTGTGTGTGTGTGTGTGTGTGTGTGTGTGTGTGTGTGTGTGTGTGTGTGTGTGTGTGTGTGTGTGTGTGTGTGTGTGTGTGTGTATGTGTGTGTGTGTGTTCACCATGTGGATGTGTGGAGGTCATAGGACAACTCTGGATTCAGTTCACTCCTTCCATTTTTAAAAATTATTTTAAAAAATGTTTATATGTGTTTTGCCTGCATATATGTCTGTGTGAGGATGTCAGGTCCCCTGGCACTGGAGTTAAAGACAGTTGTGAGCTGCCATGTGGGTACACTGAAGCATCTATCTCTCCAGCCCCCTCTCCTTCCGTCTTTATGTGGGTCCCAGGGGTTGAACTGGGGTTACCAGGCTTGCATAGCAAGCACCTTAACCTCCGGAGCTATCTCACCAGTTGAGAAGCAGGTGAGAGTTAGGTACCTCTGTTCGGCCATCTTGAACTCCCCCTCTCCCTTTCCTGCCTTTAACACAGTCACACTTTAAACCAGTCAAACTTCCCAAATTATGCCCCCTCTATTGTTGAGATGGAGTCCTAGGCGTACAGAAATCTGAAGAGTGAATCTTGAGGATTCTACTCTCTTGTAAGATCTCTTTGTTTCAGAATATGAACAGTGCATACTCTTCCACCTGGCATTTACAACACGCCTGCCTGACTTCTACTTGTTTTCCTACTTCTCTTCTGCCACAACACCTCACTCATACCACAAGCACCACCTACAGCTTTTCTGCCTTTTGGCCCTTTGCTCCACCTGTCATCTCCTCATCTTCATCATGACCTGTACCACCTTTCCTTTGAAACTCGGCTGAAATTCCACCTCCTCCAAGAAGACTTTCCCAACAGCCCAGCACAGTGACCCCTCTAGTCTACACACTTGTCATTTGTGTCCCCACAGCCTACTTGGCCTTCACTGGCTTCCACTTGGCTCTGTGCTGGTATTCTGTCATTTCTCCCAATTAGAGGCGTTCTTCCTGCTTCTTTGCCCTCCAGACCTGGGGAGTCTCTGTTCTACTTGCTTCTTATTATTTCCTAATCACTCTTTACTTGCATTTGGCCATGTGCAGAGTTAGCTGCAATTCTGGCTTAGCCCTGGGTCGTCCTTGAATGATCTGGTTAACTTGGTGAATCCCCAAGCAGACCTCCAGGGTTTCTCCTTTTTTTCCCCCTGTATTTACTTTTCTGATTTTAGAAGTTTAGTCATTTTTCTTTGCCCGATTTCTCAAGGTTCTCAGTCTAGGGCAGGGTGTTAATTTAATGGGTGAGGCTCCTCTTTTGGAAGAAAACCAGGGATAATGCACATAGTCATTGAACTAGTAGGGGAGCCTACTTCCTGCTGCCAGGTCTAAGTGCCAGCCACATTGTTTTTCTGGGTTGTTAGCAGTGAGTCTGGTCACTTTTGGTGCATAATGGTCTCTGTTAAATTGCAGAAATCAAATTCTCAGCCATTTCTTTCTCCTTCTGGAAACAGAGTCAAGAAGACCTATGGTTTCAGCCTCTACTAATATTGCTTCAGTTTCTGCTAATGGTATGTTCTTTGGACATTTCTGAGCTATGGAGATGTTAGTCTTTGCTTCTGTTAGTCTTTGCTTACATAATATGTTACATTCACACTGCACATGTTATGCATGTTATACTTTCACTCTCTCTACCTCTCGCCCTCCCCATTCTTGGTTTGCGTTTAAGGAGAGAGGAAGAAAATTCACATGAGATGCTATCATGGCAAGAAGTCCATATCTGCACTTGGATAGGTGCCCAGTAGCATGATGATTGTTTTTTATTTTTTATTTGCGCAGGGTGGTCTAACTTCTACTCTGTTACAGCACCCAGAGAGTTAAAAATCCATGACCAGTCAGCCATGACATAGCAATTGAGGTAAAGGCTAACTGGAAATAAGAATCATGGGGTGATCTTCCTTACCCACCAAATTGACCCTTTCCTGTACATACCCATGACAAACGTCCCCAAGGCCTGCTTACCATGGAGCAGATCTTTGGTTCCCAGTGGGCAAAGGTTGGACATTGGCACCACAGAGCTGATGTTCTCTGTGGATACTGCTGGGCTCTTGATTCGCTTCTTGCACTCGAACACCACCAGATCTTTGCACTGTTTATGGCAGTTCATCCCACAGTCTGCGGACAAGACACCCTGCTCAGAAGTCTTTCACTCACTTCTCTAGCATCTCTCTCACAACCAAACTCATGCACTGCTCTCTTGTCAAACTCTGCTGGTCCAGCCTCTGGAGCTAGGATACCTGATGTTCCTAAGGGATCTATGAAAGAGCACCTCCTGATTCTTAACCTCCTGGTAAGCCCCAGAGCTTTCATCACTGCATCAATGAATCTCAGAACTAAGCAGCATCTTCTCATCATGGAGAGAAGAGATGCTGATCTGGAAAATTAGGTTCTGAGGTATCTGCTGAAAAAAAAAAAAAAAAAAAAAAAAAAAAACGAACTGACTGGTCCTGTAGTAACCTTCCCCAGGGTGATTCCCTTTCCTTGAGCATCCGTCCTTCAATGCTTCTACAAGGAGCACAGCCATCCACAACTGAGGAAAGAGAGGTTCTAGTAGAAGGAAACTACCTGACTGGTCTTATAGGCATCCCTCTCTTGGCTGGCAGCAATCCCTGTTAGGGTGCTCTTTGGAAACCATTTTGGATACAAGGCTTTGAACTCTGCCAAGAAAGTTTGGACTGAATGGACAACTGCTATGCACAAGAAATATTACCAAGGAGAGCTCTTCAGACAAGGGAAGTGACCTCATTCCTCAAAGCTGAGACTTACCTTTACAGCGATAGCCTTGCTTGATCACTCCCCAGAGCTATGAGGCAAAGAAGACAACATGGCACAAGTCATTCATCTGTCTGCTGTGAGACTGTGCCTTGGCATTCATACTCTTTGTTCTACAGTCTATCAATGGGTAGACCCTAGTAGCATCCATTCTCTATTTTGGTTCCACCATCTATCAATGGGTAGACCCTGGTAGCATTCATTCTCTATCTTCACTCTACTGCCTATCAATAGGTAGATTCTGGTAGCATTCATTCTCTATCTTTACTGTCTATCAATGGGTAGACCCTGGTAGCTCTCTCATGTCCTAGTCCTCTGATAAGAATCCACTGGTCCGAGACAACTGCTACCTAGGCAAGAGCTCTCTGTACTCTGCACGATCCAGCACTCTGCAGGCCTGATATAGATGAACCCTGAGCTCCTGAGGACTGAGTATATAGTCCGGGTAAGAAACTTGGGTTTGGAGGAAACTATTAGTTGGATTAGGACATAGGACAAACAGCACTCAGGTAATCTCTGAGATAGTTTTTTTTAAATCAATTTAATTTTGGACAATTTCCCTCATGTATATAATACATTATAGTCATACTCATCCCTCCACCCATCCTCCTTTTTCCTTTTCCCATTCCTACCAAGCTCCACTCCTCCCAATAAGTCTCCCTCCCATTGCCATATCTTTTTAGTTTTTGTTCTGTGACATACTGAATTCAACCAGGGCTGCCATGTGGGGTATGGAGCGACCCCCTGGAACACAGGTAACTTAATTTCTTTTGAAAAGTGAAGAAAGGCATCTCCTATTTCTTATTTTCTAACATTGGAAACATTATGTAACACTTTTAAAAAGGTATATCTAATTCCACATTTCTGTACCATTTATCCCAGAATAATGAACCAGGGAAGAAAAAAAAAGCAGGAAGAAATTAGATACAGGCTAAACCCATACAATAGAAGACTATGTTTTCTGGGTGTTCTCTTGGGTTGTGAGCTGGAGTGAGAATGTAAGGACTTCAAGGACCATGCCTGTCTTAACTCATTTGAACTGTCCTGTACACACACACACACCAACACTTACGCTCTAAGTTCAACTCTGACACTCTAAGAGTAACTTACAAAGCCAGCACAGTTGTCACAGAAAGTGGGCTTCAGGTAGGTGGTCTCTTGAAAGTTGTGAGGAAAGCCCAGGCCGAGCTTGGAGTAGATGGAGCTGGCCCTCATGAAGTAGGCTGTGATCTCGTCCCTGCTGATGAGGCCTTCCCTGAAGCAAATGACAGGCAGGGAGGTGAGGAGGGCCAGGGTGGTTTCTAGCCTTTGAAACTAACCTTCCAATTGACCTTCCTGTAGCTGCTTCCTTGAGTTCTCCTCCATAGTAAGGACATGGGACAGCACAGAGTGACAATGTGAGGCAGTCTGACTGCTCGTCATACCTGGTAAATGGCCAAACGGTTCAGTGTGTTCAAGACTTAAAAGGGAAGTGTTGTGAAGTGTGTGTAAAGGAAAGCAAAGACCTCATGCTACAGTGTCTGACTTGAGACAGGAAGGGCACCTGTAGAACCTACTGGCCATGCATTTGGTTTTCTGTAGAGACAAAGCTTTTAGAGCCATGACAAAAATGCAGGTAGTATTGATAGAACTATGAATTGTTTCCATGATTTGTAACACCAAAGCAGGAAGGAAGGCCAAGTGCTTTCTCCTAAGCTGGTGGCATTGGGAGTCTTGGAGTGTGAACTCTTCAGAAAGCCTATGGATTTCATGGTCTGCTGCCGTCCACACTGAAGGAGTGAGGCCTTCACTTGATAGTGGCTCCTTCTTCCAGCATGTGTCACGTAAGCCTGGCAGTACATGTGTTCACCAGTGACCACTTACATAGTCCCACACACCGTCCTCACCTGTCTTTGTCCATCACACAGAAGGAGAATGGAAAGCTTGCAGCGATCTTTTCAAATTCCTCTTGAGAGATGTACCCATCCTGGTCGAGATCGTAGTTCTTGAAGACAGACTGAAAAAAAGAGTTTCTTCCGTTTACTGAAGGAAACCAATCATCTCTTCCTTTAGCTAAATGACAAGGCAATGGGTACATAAAAGCTTGGCAGGGGCCTAAGTAAGAGCAGACCTTGAGACATACTCCCTAAACTGTGGTACTGGCACAGCAGGGCACATCCCAGGCATCTGCTGTCCCAGCCACTACAGGGTGCCTAGGTGTGCTCAACCTGTAAACATCAGTTGTGCCACAAACTGGCTACAGCACACAGCTACTCCACTGGATAGAGGATGACCATTCTCTCTCCACTCTGCCCTTCCTGCAGGGCTCTGATCCCTTGTCTGGGAAGCTCACAGCCTAACCCAATTGGAAGCTCTCTCTTCCTTGAGTTCTGTGCTCCTCCTTGTTCTGCATGTGTGACTGGAGCTTAAAGACAGCATGACAATATATCCCCTTCCTCAGCAGTTAGCCAGACCGAGCACTGAAAGTTTCCTATTCCCCTTTTTAGCATTATTGTATGCTGACATTTACCACATATTAACTAATAACTTTTAAACATATGTTCCCCTGCTAGGGCTAATCAAGGCAAACCCACCCCACTGGAGACCAGTGTGTTGACAGAATTTCCTCTGAAACATTCTATGGCCACAGTGTGTGGAGTGAAGCAGCTTTGTGCTCCCTATCATCATGGCTCCTTCTCCTCCCCACATCCTGAAATGAAAGCAGGCTGTCCCATGATTTCGTCTGCCGAAACGGGTACTTACATCCACCATCCTCTGGACATGTTTGCTGATGGTCTTCGGGTCAGGTTTGGGAGATACTCCAGAGGCCCAGTCCACTACAACCGGTGGCTTTGAAGGTGTTAGTGGCTAAAATGGAATAGGAAAATCCTTGTGACTAATGTGGGGTAGCAGGGCTCCTTCTTCTCCTGATACCTGACTGTGTGCCATGGCAGGAGACGAAAGCACACATAGTCAGAATCTGTCTGAGCTCGGCTAACAGATTCTATAGTGCTTTTCCCGAACCTCAGCGGCAGACAACTTCACTTTTCAGTGGGCCTGACCTCCAGGTCCCTCTCCATTAAATCTCTTGTCAGACCTATGAACAAAGGCTAACATGAACACGGATCATGTCAGTTGTGTCTGTGCTGCAGTCACAGTTTTAGTAGAGATGGATAAAGAAAAGCTAATCAAGACGGCAAGATGCACAAGGAAAAAGTCAGTCTGCATATGCCAAGAGAGAGTCTATTGCTGATAATTTGAAACTTAGCTGCAATTAAAATCCCCCTGAAAACAGAAGTTGCTGACCCTTCTTTTGAAATGCCTCTAACGCCCTGGACGTGGACTCTCCCAACCATTCTGTAGAGGCAATGTGACTTTGCAACCCTAAACAAAAGAGCTGATTTTGTGTGTGTAGGCGACTCTCTTCCAGAAGTCCTTCTTGTTTGGGAGTTGGGGGCCTTTCTAGGAGATGGAAATAATTCTTCTACTTACTTGACAGTAAGACAGGCAGGCTCAGATAACCTGTAATGGTCCTACTGTGTGTAAAGCCAGGGCATGGTGCTGTTAGGAGCCCAAATGGGCACAGGCAGTCAAAAGGTCCGGCACCTTCCTGAACCAGAACATCACAGGCCAATGAAACTTTTTCTTTCTACCATGCAGAAAGTTTCACAAAGTGTGTGTGTGTGTGTGTGTGTGTGTGTGTATGTGTGTGTGTGTGTATTGTTGTCATCACCAGTCTTGGAAAAGAGATGTGGGGGCACTTTGACGGGAGGGGGACAGCACCGTGCCTCATGATACTGCCTCCTCTCATTTGAAAGCCCCGACAGGTTCTACCCCACCCCTATTAGGCACACAGTCATTTCCTGTTCACAAAGTGGTTCCTTAGTCTTAACAATAGGCTGTTTATGGATAAGAACTATGTGTTACACATATGTTGAGAAGTTTTCTGTGCTGTGCTCAAATCTGAGCACAGAGCACAAAACATACACTTAATAAGCAACTGAAGGCCAGCTTCTTGAGAAGGAATCTGAGGAGCTTTTTTTTTTTTTTCTTGTTTGTTTTGTTTTTTTGTTTTTTGAGACAGGGTTTCTCTGTGGCTTTGGAGGCTGTCCTGGAACTAGCTTTTGCAGCCCAGGCTGGTCTCAAACTCACAGAGATCCGCCTGCCTCTGCCTCCAAAGTGCTGGGACTAAAGGCGTGTGCCATCACCGCCCGGCTTAGGAGCTTTTAAAGCTCTGTCATACTCAAGCATTAGGATGAGAAACTCACGGGGGCTCTGTGGTTCCTTGGTTCTCGGGCATAGGAAAGCTCGTAGATTTCATCTTCTGTGTAGTATAGATCCAGGGATAACTACAGGGGTTGAAGCAGAACACAGTTAATTGTTAGGATTAACTTTCCCAGAACTGAAGATTTTTTTTATTCTTGGTCACTAGTATATGGGAAGGGAAGTAGTAGAATGGACCTGGTACATAGCTAGTACTTAGTCATTATTCTCCCGTGGGGATCTCACCGTTAGCAGGTGCACCAAGTCCTTGTTGGCATCCAATGGTGGGGCCACCTCTTGCAGCTGGACCAATTCATTAATATGATTGTAAAGGGCCAGGAGCTTCTGGACGTTCACCTTCCCATCCTCCAGATAGTCAGGCATGGCTTCGTATAGGGAAATGAGGTCCTTGAGGTGCACTCCCAGTATGGGGATTTTGAAGTGGGTGCACTCCCCATAGGCTCGCCTGTAGTTGTCATAGTTTCTGCAGGAGGACAGCAGTTCAGTCATCTCACCCAGAACCTATGAAGCAGAACAGACTGGTCACAGACCCTGTGGGCCTAGTACGCTGCAGCCACCTTGCTTACTCTCATGACTTTACCCCACCCCTAATTTGTTGGGCAGAGGATGATGATGCATCTCATTTGTGCCTATTGCAACTCAAATTAAAACTCCAGCTACGTGTATAGTCAAAGAAGTATGTGTTCTTCGATATCACTACATAGTTTAATTTGGAAAAGTTTCATCAGTGTATATTAAACTGATTTGCTTTTAGAACTAATATAAGCACTTGACACACCAATCAAAGATACAGAAGGATATAGGAGATATAAGTGCTCTCGTAACCCAAAACTGTAAGTTGCCTTCCCTGGTGTCCTTGAAAGTTTCCAGAAGCATTGTGTGTAGTAATGTCTGGCTTGGGAGGTCAGCAGGCGTTGCCTTTGCTGCTGGCCTGGGAAGCTATGTTTTACTTGGGGAGCTGCAGTGGTGTAGCTCAGGTTACTATTCTGTGGCTCAAGATTCTCAATGCTTGAAGGGAGCAGCCAGAGACAGTCTTTTCAAACGCTGTTGATGTCAGTCACAGAACCCCACTCCCCAAGTGTGATGATGCCAGCTTTTCAGAAGCGAAGATGTGGAGTGACTTTGCCCATTGTGTTTTCACATGTAATGACCATATCAGACACCATGCCAAATTCTTTTTAATAAAATTGTATCTAGCAAGAACCATTTTTATACAGTGAGGAAGTAGAGGCTTGGACTGTGCCCACTCAGAAACTCTGAAATAGCAAGAGACCCCCCCCCCCAACACCCCTTTGTCAAATACTGTTGGAGAGTGAGCTATGTGAACAGCAGGGTATAGGATATATTAACTTTTGTTAGTGTTTCCGTGCTTTCTAATATATAAGCGATCTTTTCAGTGTGGTCTCAGTAGAACTGTTAGGGAATGAAAAGGTGATTGAAGATGATTCTGTGTACCCAGCCACAGTGAAGGGGTTTCTCGAAGGTCCAGCATGGTAATGGAAGGGAATCCTTGGAAGAAAGATGAATACATGGGATAAATGGGTAAGGATATCGAGACCCAAGAATCTTTCCCTAAAAAGAGCCTTGCCCTTCTAGTTTAGGATGTCTATGGTTTGTGACTAGTAAAGTCCCATTACATCATTAGCAGCCCATGCCATGCATGGCACACTGTATCATGGTGGGTGGTTCTTACACTAGCAGTCCTCTGCCGAAGAATTTAAAGAATATCCTGTGACATGCAGTAAGAATGTGAAGCATGCCATAAAAATGCAGCAAATGGCTGGGGGTGTATCTCAGTGGCCTAGCTCTTCTCAATGATACTGTATCTAAAGTGTACGTTTCCATCTCTGGAAATTCAATTGTCCGCAAAGTCTGCAGGTATTCTTGTTAGCTAGTGTTCTGGGCTGTCACTGTCTAGTGCATTTGACACACACTATAAGCAATCGAACTTCTATCTCTTTGGGGAAAACATTCTAAAGTGAGGAGAGCCGGGCAATGGAGTTGATGACGAGGCTAGTAACTGAACATTTCATGACTTGTAGACACAAGGCACATATTATTTTAAGTGGTCTGGCAGACGGGGGCATAGTGACACTGAGGCCAGGTGGAATCTCTCACACACTCTCACGTCTGTGACTCACCCATCCTGATTTCCTGAGGGTTTGCCTCCCTGCCTCCCCGCCCCCCAACACACACACACCTTTTTTTTTTTTTTCTCGGAACTAACTCTTGTAGGCCAGGCTGGTCTCAAACTCACAGAGATCCGCCTGCCTCTGCCTTCTGAGTGCTGGGATTAAAGGCATGTGCTACCACTGCCCGGCTTGGCCATGTAGTCTTAAGGACCCCAGAGGAGACAGCGCACTGACCTTATTGATCTCATGTGGTACGTGTGAACTTGTCTCCTTGAGCCTGGAGATGGAGCTGTGACACAGTCCTCCTATCACAGCCATCAATGTGTTGAAGTTCTGTAGCTGGTGGAGCTTCTGTGATACAGGACAGAGTACAGCAAAATCACAGTACATGTCATTACATGGGGTGCTTAGAAGCTGACATCTCTATGCTGCACATTTCCCATATAATTAATTGTTAGACTAACAGCCAGGAGAGCTGGGGTGTTTTCCCTTTTCATTGACCTCCAGACCAGATCTGAGATCAGCAGGGAGGCCAAGTGCCCCTCTCCTGTGGCGTCTGATCTGTGGACTACCATGTGAACTGTTGGTTTCCAAAATCATTGAGGCCATGCTTAACAAAGACTTCTGAACCCATCCCCTACATTCTGGCCCCTTGGACTGGGGGTAGGCTTAGAGACTAGGTCTCGTCTGTCTCTAATGAATATCAGAGCAGGTGGGCCATTTCCAAACTTGGAGAAACAATGGTGTAGACCATCCTAAGTCGGACAACACAATAAGCACAGTATTATTGTCTTTATCCTATTGCCAGGAAAATATGTTATTCCACTTATGCCAGTAAAGGATAATTGCTGGGGAAGAGAAGTTAGAACCTCTGTCCCCCAAACACTGAATATGCTATTCACGGAACCTTGATCTGAGGACCTAAGATAACTCAGGCTGGCCTGGCACTGCTTATATGCTTGCCATATGGCTAGTTATGAGAAAATAATGTGTCTCATGAAAAAACATTAAAGAGCTGAGTCCTGATCTTGAGATGTCCCACACAGCCTTCCACATTGCTCTTGGGTGAGAAAGGAGACGAGTTGCATATCTAGACCAGGAGATAACAGAAGGGGCACAAATCCCATTGTGGGTCAGAGGGGACATAACTCTGACAGACTAGTCTCAGGGTGAAAGGGCTAAGTCATTTACCTCACGGCCTAGGATAATTGTCTCAGTTCAGCCACTCACCTGGGCCACGTGGATGAACTTGATGAAGACCTCTGCCCGGAGCTGCGGGGTGGGACGGCTGAGAACCATCAGTTGTACCCACTGGGAGATGCCATTGCACAGGGCAATGGACCGCTCCATGGTGGGGTTCTCCTTCACGCAGCTATTTACAAGGTAATTTTGATAATCAGAGAACTGGAGGGAAAAAAGACAACCATGAGGTATTCCTGGAGTTCTGAGGGGCACATCAAATCTTCTCAGTGGTGGCTGGGAACCAGTATGGGCAAACAAGCCTGTGGCTATCTCCTTGGCATCTTTGCTACCAGGCCAAAAAGAATGATGGGTGTCAGATCACATCGGGGCCTCATTATATGAAGTTCATTAGGCACACAAGGATGGGTACACAATATGAATCCAAATAGCAAACTGGTGTAGATGTGCTCTCTCTCTTCTGAACAGAGTAGAGCATAGTAGAAAATGTCTCTCAGTGCCTGCTGTGAGTCTCCAGTTCAAGGACACAATTCTCCTTCTAGAACCTTTCTCTTTCCATCTGTTGTCTACAAATAACTGTGTGGCCATAACCCCCCACACACTCAGGACATGAGTTTGCTATAAACATCAAGATCACACATGATATGGAAGCACTTTTTCACAGTTCCATGCAAATACAAAGTAGTGGTAATAGGAAAATCACTAGCCTGTCTGAACTACCTTGACCAGGGGCCAAGTGAGAAGGGTATCTGAAACACAGCTGAATAAACATATAGTGACCATGTTTTCCCAACCTGTCAGTAGCATTAGCTATGGATAACAATGGGACTGCATGTGTGAAGCTGAAATATCCTGGATGGTCTGGTCTCAGTGATGATTATAGCTGACATGTCTCTGCTACAAGAATCTCTCAGTTTCAAGAGTAAAGAAGAGCCAAGTCTTCAGGAATATTCCTATGGGAGGCTCTGGGGCTGTGTTGAACTCTGCACTCTGAAAGCTGGTGTGGGTGGGTGAAATAGCTAGGAGAATGTGAGTTAAACATCAGGACCAGTGTAAGTGCCAATGTGTGCTTTGCCATTCTGCCTTTCCAGTGCTCCAGAGACGGTGGGAATTCCAACCAGAGGAAGACAGGCCATTTCAACCAGCCTCTACTGACATCTGCTAGACTTCTAGTGTGGTAGAAAATAAACTTTCAAGAGAGAGAAGGGGGGATGTGAATGACTGCCTTGCCTAAATAAAACAGGTGCCCAGATGCCCGTTCTTTGGCCTCCATCCCATGGTGCTGTGACTGTTGATGGGTGGACACATCTGCGTGGGACAAAAGCACTCTTTGGAAGAGCTGTGAGACTGCCACAGAAAGCAAAGATCTTCCCGGTTCTAAGAGGAAGTGGTCACCCTCATTCCGATGAATACCTCATATTCCTTCTCACTAGAAATATGTTCAATCTATTGTCTCTTTAAAAGAGACAATTACCCATGTAATACAATTTTTCCAAACCACAGAAGAGATACATTTCCCCAACTGTTAGAGGGAAAATTATTATTTGCAAAAATTGCTTAGGAAAAATAAAAGCAAACAAGAATCCACTGAAGTAGCCTTCTACAAAGGGGCCATGCCACTCAAAAGATAGAAGGTGGAAGCTTTCATTTGTAAACAGAACATAGTTCAACTCAGAGATGCTGGCTCTGATTTACTGTCCTTCACCATCACTTCTGCTTCCCCGCAGGTAAACACTGGCATCAGCAGACATCATGCAGGCCTGGGACAGCTCTGCCAGCATCACTAGCACAGCTCTGATTTCCAAAGTGATAATGGTTTCTTTTCAGAGGCTTTCAGTTTTGTCTAGCCTTGGGACAGGGGAGGTGGGGTGAAAGAAAACCCTTGGCTGGAGTCTCACAATGGGGGCCCGGCACTTTGTCTGAGGGGTGCCCAGGAGGAAACTGGGTAGTTAGCATTGGGAGTGTTTGGAGCCAGCTCCAAGGGTAAGCTCCTGGGTCTCTGGTTGGGTGATGACAGTCAGTATATCAATGTTATGGGAGAAGCTATGATATAATCTCTGCAATCTGGTTTACTAGCCTCCATCCACACGCAGTTGAGCTCAATAAGTTGTTGCTGAGTGACTGGGAGACACGAGCTCTAACTTTAATAATGCTGTGCAGACCTTGCTCTGGCCCTCCATCCTACACCTGGGGAATACAGGTCACTCTAAGCCAGGCAGCGTAGTACTGACTGGTGTCAGAGAAAAACTGAAGATGGCACCTGTTGGTGGGAGGGTGGCCTGAGTGGAAAAAGTGTTTTAGGAAAGCACTTTGGCCAGTGACAGTGTGTTGCACCTAACATGGTGGCAAGTTCTCTTGTGTGGAAGAGTGTTCTCAGGTGTCCTGCAGAGTTAGTTGTGAGGACTGGAGTGTGGGCAGGATGCTCTGTGATCACTCCCTGTTGTTGATGGTTAAGTTGAGTCCCCCTCCCTTCATCTCTCTTCACCTTTGCTCTGCTTGGCTACACCAACAGAGTGAGTTAAGTCAGCAGTTTGCTTCCAGATTCATGGAAATGATGGCCAACTCTACCCTGGAATTCTAACTCTTAGCGAAGTTACTCCCACTTTTTCTTTTCTTCTCTTTTTTTTTTAAATTATAAAACAATTTTCTAAAGGTCTAATGCTTTTCAGGGATGAAGGGCATGGGCATCCTCATACACAAGCATGCATGCAGGATATCATGTGTGCCCGCAGTGCCATGCCTAGTGAGGCTGAGTGAATGCTAGAGTGGTATGTGGGCATTTCTAGAAGGTGTGACATGGGGAAGCAGAGCATGGGCAGCTAAAGGAATTCTGATGGCATTAGGTTTCCAGATCCCATGGTGCCTGCTAGGGAGGTCTCCTGGCCCCATGGCAGGGAGAGGGTCATGCTGGGTCAGGAGGGCACCTGGTTGCTGCTATTCTCTGCTCATGATCGTAAGTTCCCAGAGTAGGTTTCCTCCTGCCCCCTGGCTACGTACAGAAATCCTTCGGAAGGACTTGAATTCAAGGTAGGTGAGGTGCTCAGACAGTTCTTCAGGTTCCAGATGGTCAAACAGCAGGGAGACTTTCCGCTTCTTGCTGGTATTTGATTTTATCCTTTGAGTCAGTTTTCGGGACCAGTCTCGGGAATTACTTTGGTGGGTAAATGAGAAAGGGAGAAGACGAAGAATAAATCACTACTGCTTTTTATGAGCAAGCACACCAGCGTTACCCTCAAGAATTCTCAAGGCATAGTTAGCTAGCTTTGTCTGGCATAAATGATGCATTAACTGAGTTTCCCCATGTCAATTTTTTCTATAATAACAATTCAATGAAGTGAGTCTTATGGATGTATCGAGAGGGACAGGAGGGCAGCAGGAAGGGGAACTTTTAGGCATTGGTCCTGGCTCTTTCTACTCTTTCAATGCCTCTATGTGTTCCTTCATTCCTGTTAGGGCTATGGGATTGTTGGTGGAAATCATAAGAGGGAGCCAGCAGAGATCAGAGAAAAATAGAGAGAAGACACTATGCTGTAAGGCTCATTGGTAGGAACATGTGCTCACTCTGGGCAGAAATACGCATTTTTCTCCAATCTCCCCAGTTATGAAAACAACCACACAAACTAGCTGACTCTAGAATGACCCAGTGATTCCTCAGTGTCCTCACAGCCCAGCCAGAGGCTCTCTTAGTCTCAGATTTGCTCTAAACAGAGGAAAGCAGCTAGTGTTGGAAGGCAGCAGGGTGCAAGCCTGGGTTTCTAAACTGGCATTTCTGAGAGCCTCGGCTCTGGACATTCGGATTTCTGGATTTGAAGTTTGGGAAAGGCTACAAACTCTGTAGACCTCTTCCCCCTGTATTCAAGGCTTTCAAATGCAAAGGAAACTGTAACTTGCAATTCCTTAACTATATCAAGTCAGGTCATATCCTCAACTAACATGTTCTGAAGAATGGTAAAAAACCCTGGGGGAGGAAATCCACCTAGAAAATATCAGGACAGAAGACTAAGGTTTTCAAGTGGTCTGGGCTCTAGGTTTTTCATCTTTTTTTTTTGTTTTTTTTTGTTTTTTTTTTTGTTTTTTTGAGACTCCTGGCTAGGTTTTTCATCTTAAAATGAAAAGGTTGTTACTTTGAAAAAAAATCTCTTTTATCTATGAAGTTGTATAATTCCAAGCAGGGAAGTAGAGAGGACCCAAATAGATGTAAAGATTGATTTGGGATTATGGAGTGTGACTTTGAAATAATTTGTGTGTGTGTGTGTGTGTGTGTGTGTGTGTGTGTGTGTCTGTGTGTCTGTGTGTCTGTGTGTGTGTGTCTGTGTGTGCATAGGTATTATATGCAGGGCTTGGAGTACAGCTTCTGTTTTGCCACTGGTGCATGTCACAGCTGTATTAAATACATGGCAGGGATAACAAGATGAGGGTTGGAGATTAGTCACAGATCCTAGACCAGACCAGACCAGACACACCCCAGGCCAGTCAGACACAGACCCCAGGCCAGTCAGTCACAGAACTCAGACCAGTCACAGACCCCAGGCCAAAACAGTATTTTGGGTGAATAAATCTCCTCAATATGCTGCAGTTCTAGAACTCTGTATTTTGGGAATTTGTGTTATTACAAAACAATTAACCACACATAAAAACCCCAGAATGTAAAATGTGTGACCTCCTTCCCCAAATTAAGAAAAGCTCATTTTCCAGAGTGAGCCAATCGTGTGAATAAGGAACTTCAAGTATGACGTGAAGCATCCCTGAGTTCCTTCTCGGCTCTGGGACTTTAATGGTCTTTTAGACATCTATCTACATGTGTTCTAAGTCTCTGGTTGGGACATTTTGCAATGGTGCCTGGTCCATTAAGTGCAGGGTGCCTGTTGCATCAACTATGAATGAGGCCCTAGTCCAGACACTGGGCTGTCTGTTTCTCACAGATTGGATACCTTCTAGCAAGGTCTAGCAACCTTCTGCTCTTTGCTCATGGCCCAGGCAGCTTCCCCACTGGGGCCTCTCTGCTTTTCTAGTAAATGTCAAGTTATCTATGGTGGGGCTCTCCTAACCTGCCTGTCTGAGCTTCTTGGAAGTAGAGGGAATGAGAGGCCCAGTACCACAGCTTGGGTTACTGGAGGGAGGTGGTTTCAAGGACTCATCAGGACCCTTAAACACTCACATTTGCGTAGTGTCAATCAGGCGGCAGTGGGACTCCTCACCATTGTTTTTTACCAGGTCCTGAAATTCTTCCATGGTGCTGGTCAAGCTGGCATCCATTTTGAACATGATCCAGAATTCTGTTATCCAATACCTACAAGGAGGGAGTTAGGAAGAACACTGAGCCCAGGGCTTCACAGTTAGGCAGATTCCCAAAGGAATTTGAGGACACAAAAAGTACTCAGAAGAAGACAGAGGGTGATTTGTCTGTAGTAAAAGATCTGGGGGTAGAGGGTTCCCAGGAGGAAAGAAAACCATCTAGCAGATGGCTGTCCTGGAACTTGCTCTGTTGACCAAGGTGGCCTCAAACTTAGAGAGCTGTCTGCCCCTGCCTCTCAAGTCCTGGAATTAAAGGCATACAAAAGCAAGGGGATGGAGAAATAGAGGAACATAAACAGAAAGAGATGAAAAGGAACAAAGCATAATAACATTTATGTTTGAAAATGCCATAATGAAACTACCAATTGTGTGTTAACTTAAAAAATTAGTAAAAACTCTTAAAAACAAAGAACAAAACAAAGCAAACATTTTATGAAGGATATATACAAAATAGTTATGACTGTTTATTATATTTTCAGAATTTTCAAAACGTTCAGTTACCACAACAATTAAGAACAAAAACAAAGAAGAAAACACAAGCCCTTGATTGTCTTTGTATCCAGCTTTTGTATTATTTGATATAAACTGTCATAAGACTAAAAGGAAAAAGGATAATAATCTTAAGGACAGGTACAAAAGAGGAAATCTACTGTATTTAGTTGAGTTTTCAACATTAAGTCCTTTTGCCCTTTTTTTCTGTCCAGAGGCAGCTTATAGTGTCAGAGGCAGGTTAAAGAGTCAGAGGCTGGCTACAATGTCAGAGGCAGGCTACAGTGCCGGAGGCAGGCTACAGAGTCAGAGGCAGCCTACACAGTCAGAGGCAGCCTACAGTGTCAGAGGCAGGCTACAGTGTCAGAAGCAGCCTACAGAGTCAGAGGCAGCTTACAGAAGGCTGGGAGGGAGAGGCTGGAAGACCAGAACGAGTAGAAGTCCAGAGAGCAGCTTTTCATGTAATCTCATCCCACTCCACATAGTCTCTAAATCACACAGACATTACCTGACAAAATAGCAGATTTTCAGGCAAATTCCTGGAGAATTCTTCTCCAAGGCATCCTTATATGTAGGGCTGTGGTTAAGGGAAATAGAAGCCACATTACAGAAACTTAAACTTCCATCTTTCGAAGTATTTACTAAACCAGCCCCTGAAATGTGGGTAAATCACCTCTTGCCTGTGCCCAAAAGACTAGGAGCCCAACTGAATGAGTAAGTTAGAAAGAGATCCCCTTCATCTTTTAAAAATTTTCCAGTAACTGATTTATGCAGTAACTATTTGGGCAGTGACTTAAGGAAATATGTATCCATATACATTTAAATATGTTGATAAATAAGAACAATAACATGAACATTTTCTCCTACACACACACACACACACACACATATATGTATACACACATACACACACATACACATACATGTATATGTACACACACACACACACACACACACTCACACCTGGCATCATAACCAACCTTGTGCATTGATTGTCATGGCAAGGCAGATAAAGTCATGGAATAATCCAAAAATATAATCAAAGAGTGCTTTAATGGTCTTTATAATTCTGAATATTTTGAAAGAACAAAAGAACATTCCTGCATGTACATGTCCTTTGAGATATAATGAAAGGGTATTTGCATATTTACGAATCTGATGAGAACTCTAGTCTAGTGGAAAATGTGGTCCTGTCACCTTTTTTTTCTGTTGACAGATTGAACAGTAAGCTACCTGGCTGTCTACCTCACAAGACCATAGCCTTTTTCTCTTTTAGCAACTGAGACATGATGACTGCAATATAGGGGGTCAGTGAACTACAGTTAGGCCAGTGAGATGGGTCTAGTTACAACCAGCCAAAATCCCATAACTGGGGTGGAAGTGGTCTTCCCTCAGTAGGTGTGAATATATTCCCCTTTGGGTAACATAGTTAAATACAGAAAAGGCAGGTCTCATCAGCACCCTGGTGCTGTACTTCCTGTGAAAGCCTGTGTGATTTTGAATGTCTTTGATCCACACACTTGAAAGTTCAGTGTGAGATATTTGAGTAAGTGAAGTAAACATGCATTTTAAGCAGAAAACTCACTGTATGCTCAGCTTTAGAACACATAAGATAATGTTAGCCCATCAGAGTGATAAAATCACAGCGAAAGAAAAATCCCTAAAATCTTAAATATGAACAAACTAAACTTGAAAACACAAAGAAATATGCTAAAATTTGTAATTTTAATAAATATAGGACTAACTTCAAAAATTAAACATGAATATATTAGTTTCTTATTAAATCTGTTCTTGAAATTAGAGCATGCACACATATCACACTTACACACACACACACACACACACACACACACACACACACACACACCCCTCTTTTGAAAGAGCTAAGTGGAAATGTCGAATCAAAGGTGTTGGTGTGTTTTACAGGGCAGCCTCCTCCCTAGCCTCCTGATGTTTCTGCACAGGGGCTGAGTTCCCTGCAACCTCAACAACACCTGGACTGTGAGGCTTCCAAGCATCCTTCAGACAGAGAAAGCTCCCCTAGTCCTCAGCTGTTTGCTGCACCATGGCAAAGGCAGCCTGCTCAAGGTTGCTGTTTCTGTCAAACAAAAACAAACATGGGGGCAAGCTAACAAATATATTTGAATACCTTAAAATGTTAGCAGGACAAACTGGCCCAGACCTTCAAGAAAATGGTTTATGATAGAGAAATGGAAACTCGAAAGTCATCCTGGGTCTATAGAATGGTGGAGGAATCATTGTGTAAAACCATCCACATTGTATGAAGACAGCAGATGGACCCTGTGTGCAAGTGTGCTCAGGGGAGAGGTCACATGAGGGGAAGGGAGGCTAGGGAGGAGGCTGCCCTGTAAAACACACCAACACCTTTGATTCGACATTTCCACTTAGCTCTTTCAAAAGAGGTGTGTGTGTGTGTGTGTGTGTGTGTGTGTGTGTGTGTGTGTGTGTGTGTGATATGTGTGCATGCTCTAATTTCAAGAACAGATTTAATAAGGTCACATGGGAAGGACATGGGAAGGTACACTTCAGGAGTCCTGGGGGAAAGGCATTAGAGGCCTAGGCTGTCAAGTACTGCTGGGAGGAATGAGCAAGCATGGAGCAAAATCCACCAGGCCTGGGGCCTGAGAAGCCACAGTGGCAACAGAGGGAAGTCTGTGTATTTCAGTGGGAGCTTCAGTTGTGTTGAGGAATGAGTAGGAGTAGAGCTTGGAGCTTGTGAAGGCGGACTTTTTAAGAAGGTTTCACATCCAATTTCTAATCCTAACAGCCGAATAAAGGGGAAACAGGGCTGAGTTTATTTTTAGATGTAGGACATTTGAATGTATCGTGGCTGGGGAGCAGGTACTACTGAAAGGCAGTGTGGGAGCACAGGGAAGAGGGGTGCAGTGTGTGGGATGTGGCTGGGCAGGCAGTGTAGTGGTTGCTGCAGGAACAGCACCCAGTGGTGCCCCAAAGGAGGCCACTCAAGTACATTTGGTCCTGAGGCCAGCACATTTTTAGGGAGGAGTGTTTAATTGCTGGTATTGTTTACAATTACAGGTGTATGGAGTCAGAAAAAGCAGAGTGATTGGGTTTGGAATTCACTCCAGAGGAGGCACCTACTTACTGCAGGTATGTCTCATTAGGTGGCACTCTCCCTATGCTCTACCCTTGCCACACCCCTGGGAAACTGGTCTCTGAGATGGAAGCTACAGCTTTGTGGAGGAGGTTTAGAGAAGGGAGTCTGCCCTGGCTATTCCATCTCTCCTTTTCTTTCCCAGGTTGTAGTGTATCTTTTGTTTGTTCTGTTTTCTGGAAAAGGGTTTGCACAGTCACATGTCCTGGCTCATTCTCAGAGACCTAGGCTTCAGGTGCTGACTGGTCTCATGTCTCCTACAGCACTTTTCTCTTGGGGACTACATCTCACAGTATCACCAGCATTCTGAAGGAAAAATTGGGCACTTTTCTACATCCTGCCACAGGAGACCCATGTCTAGCAAGGACTAACTGGTCCACAGTACCACAACCTAGAGTAAGAAGGCAGTGTAGATTGTATAGCTGAACCTTTCTTCCGAGCCCAGGAGGGATGAAGAACTCATGCGAAGTCCATTAAGAAATGCATCACTCATTAACCCAGATCCCAAAGACAAATACAATATGTACTCACTTGTAAGTGGATATCAGACACAGAGCAAAGGACAAGCAGATTATAGCTTACAACCCTGGAGAACCTAGGAAACAAGGAGGACCCTAAGAGAGACATACATGGAAAAAAGGCAAGATCTCCTGAGTAAATTGGGAGCGTGGGGGAAGGGAGGGTGGAAGCGGCGGTGGGGGGGGCAAGAGGAGTGGGAGAAAAATGTATAGCTCAATAAAAAAAATGACAAAAAAAGAGAAATGCATGACTCAAGACTCACAACTTCCCTGGTCAGTCTGTGTAGGATGAATATTTGTGACTAATGTATAAGATTTTTTTTTTTACTAGCAAGAGATATTAATGTTGCCTGCATTTGTATGCTGATTTCTTCGACCATCTCCCACTCATAGAAATCAGCATAAATAATATTGTCCTACCTAAAAGAAGCTAAACACACAGGTGCACACATACAGGTTCATATACACACAGGTTCACACATACACTCACACACTCTCTCTCTCTCTCTCTTTCTCTCTCTCTCTCTCTCTCTCTCTCTCTCTCACACACACACACACACACACACACACACACACACACACACACACACACACACCTATACCCTTAAAAGGACAGATGAAGCCATTTACTGCTCAGGTTTATTCCAAACCAATCAAAATAAAAGCACACTTGAGGCTGCAGCCTCAGCTGATGCCCAAGGATATAGGCTCATGAGTTTTTGTAGCAGCTCAGCTGAGGAGATGATGATCCGGTGCATGGTCAGCACGACTTGTAACAGTTGGTTACTTCGACACAGGTTCCCATCTGCATCTGAAAATGCAAAGAGTGGCATGTGAGTCCCTCAGAGAGAAATGGTGGGTCCCCCGACTATCCGTCAATACTCCAGGGGACAGTCTAGAGCTGTTCAAACACTGGTATCTTTTGGCTGTCTGGTGCTTAATGTCCTCCCTCCTGGATTTGCCATCCTCCTGTAACCCTCTCACGTCACCAAAGGTGGTAGAGTCTGCATCTAGACTGAAAGCAGAGGCAGTTGTATGTTTTAGGGAACCCCAAGTCAATACGGTTTGGGGTTGAGAGGGACTTCCCTAGGGTCAGAGTAGGAAGTCACAGTGTTAAAGGACAATTCAAAGAAATATCTTTCAGGGTTTTTACACAGGCGCATGGCTAGTTAGATGTGTTCTTAGAGCTGTCTCCTAGGCCTTGGAAGGAGCTTATGCAAACGAGGAGCCTGAAGCACAAGCTGCCCCAATTCTAAGGCCTGCAATGAAATCAAAGAGGGATGGCTGCAGTAAACATTGCAGGCAAGTAGTGGCAGTGGATTTTGAGGGTGGATTTTGCAATGATTTGCAAAAGACACCATTTGCATTTTCCAAACCCATTGGGTAGCAGTCACAGTCTGTGTTCTATATAGTAGCAGTGGGTGTAAAGATGCCCCTAGGAGTGGTTTCCAGCATTGATTTGGTTTCTATGGTATGAAATATCAAGGACCGTGCTGCTTGTCACTACATATCTACTCTCTGACCATCACCATGAATCACATTTTTTGGGATAATCTTTTTGTATACTGTATGAATGTATCTCTGTCTTACCTACCTAAGGCACCTTCTGATTGGTTCAGTAAATAGCTGAATGGCCAATAGCTAGGTAGGAGAGGGTAGACAGGAATTCCAGGGTGAGATAGGAACTCTGGGATACAATCAGAGTTTCAGGAGATTCGCCAGCCAGGCATTGAGGAAGTCAGACATATGGTAATGAGGAGACGTAACGAACCATGTGGCAGACGTAGATTAATATAAATGGGTTAATTTAAGTTTTAAGAGCTACTTGGGAACAAGCCTGAGCTAAGGCCAAGTTTTCATAATTAATAAAAGTCTCCAAATTATTATTAGAGAGCTGGTGGTCCAAAGAAGGACCCGATAGATACATTAGTCAGGATCACTTGCCAGCTGGATTCTAGGCAAGCTTAGTCTTTTGAAACAACCAGCAAAAGATGAGAGGAGAACGAAGTCAGGTTGTTTCTTTCTCATCCATCTCTGCTTTGCCCCATTTCTACCTCTTAGATGAGTGGTCCTTCCCTTATGGCTAAGGTGCTCTCTTGGATCTCCGTCTTGTTATCTCCTGGCTCACTGGACTTTAGGATGGGAATGCCTGCTGGGGGTTGGGCAGTTCTGGTGTAACATCTCTCAATTCCACTCTCATCTCCATAAGTAGTCCTGTCTGTCTGTCTGTCTGTCTGTCTGTCTGTCTGTCTGTCTGTCTGTCTGTCTGTGTGTCTGCCCGTCTATCTTCTGAACTATCAGTCATCTATATATTCTAAAATATATTGTAAAAGGAGTGACCAATTTAATTTTTTTCAAGTTTAGTGAGTTGCAAATGAAGGACATATTCTCAAAAGTCCTGAATCCTCAAATGCTGACCTAAAGTCACATGCCGTTGAGAAAGCTTGAGTATTTATAGGCTCTCTCCAGCCCTCACTGCCTGTCCCCTCTACCGTGGAAGGTCCTGTGGAAGCCCACACCTCTTCTCTGTTCCCAGCTCCACTTTTCAAGGACAGCTAAGTTTGTCTACCCTGGTGAGACTGTGACACCAACATTTTCCCTGTTGATTTATGCCCAGTGACATTTCACTGTGCTCCTGTATCTTGTACTTGAACCAAAAGTAAATCAATCCAGGATCTCTGCATCTCTGTTTCCCTCTTCCTCAAGATCTCAGGGTCACCCCCTTCTACCTCCCTGGTCACTTTTCAACCATTCTGTTTCAATTTCTGTCTCCACTAGTCAGTTTGTTGGATAGTTGGCTCTATTCGATCTCTTACTTAGCCTAGGTTGGTCTTGAACTAGAGGTCCTCTTGCCTCAGTCTCCCAACTGCTGGGATCCTAGGTGTGAGCCACCATGACTAGCCCAAGTATCTAATTTTAAGGGTTATTGATCAGTCCCACTCTTCCAATCATTCTCCTGTCCTCATCTTTATGATTCAGATAATCTTCACTCCAACCAAAGCCAAGCTGATGAATCTCCTCCTGGAAGGCTTTCTTCTCTTGGCTCCACTGCTCCACACTTTGTCACGTCTCTCTCAGGCTCCTCTTCTGTCTCCTCTCCCTCGGCTAAGCTCTTAAATGTCAGCTTGTGCTACAGTTTAGTCCTCCCACCTCTTTCTGCTAACATTTTTTTTTAATTTAAAAGTTCTTAAATTTTAAATTAAAAAATTGAACTTTTTCCCTAGATGAATTAATCCAGGTTCTGGCTAAAACATCATCTCTCTGCTGATATCTGACAACTTCTATTTTCAGCATTTACCACGAACTTAGTATGCCCACCAGCTTAGTTTCCTTAGAGGCCTAAGTCCAAAAGAACTCTTTACTTCTCTGGTGCATTTCTCCTCCAGTCTTCCTCATCTCCAGAAATGGACCACCAACCATCCTGTGAGTTACCCCAGCTAAAAAACTAGAACTCACATGAGGTCCTTTATTTTCCTTTCATCTGATCCATCAGTGAGCCTTGATTATATTTCCAAAACACACCAGTGACCTGCCTGCCTCTCTCTAGCCTTGATATCTGTCCAGAGTAACCATGATGCAACAATCTAACTCTTTCTACTCTTACCGACACACAATCTCTTCTCTACCCAGCTCCTGAAACCTGGAAAATCAGGTCATATTCTTCCATTCCAATGAGCTGCATTGCCTTTATTGTGGCTGGCAGAGCTCCACATGCCCTCACCTCTTTTTTATTTTATTTTATTTGCAATTTTTTAAAAATTTGATTTAGAAACAAGATTGTTTTACATGACAATCCCAGTTCCCTTCTCCCTCCTGTTCTCCCCTACCACCCCCCGCAACTAAAACCCTACCTAGCACATATCCTTTCTGCTCCCTCTGGAGGGTGAGGCCTTCCATAGAGTGTCATCAGAGTCTATCGTATCCTTTGGGATAGGGACTAGGCCCACACCCATGTGTCTTGGCTCAGGGAGTATTCCTCTATGTGGAATGGGCTCCCAAAGTCCACACCTGTGCTAGGAATAAGTACTGAACTACTACAGGAGGTCCCATAGATTTCTGAGGTTTCTTCACTGAAACCCATGTTCCTGGGGTCTGGATCAGTCCCATGCTGGTATCCCAGCTATCAGTCTGGGGAGCAAGAGTTCCCCAATGTTCAGGTCAGTTGTTTCTGTGGGTTTCACCAGCCTGGTCTGGACCCCTTTGCTCTTCACTTGTCCTTCTCTGCATCTGGATTCCAGTTCAGTTCAGTGATTAGTTGTGGGTGTCTGCTTCTACTTCCACCAGCTGCTGGATGAGGGCTATGGGTGGCATATAAGTCAGTAATCAATCTCATTATTAGAGGAGGGCATTTAAGGTAGCTTCTCCTCTGTTGCTTAGATTGTTAGCTGGTGGCCCTCGCCTCTTTAAATATGGCCCTTCATTTTGAAATGTTTTTGCCCTTCTCTCCACCTGTTTCCACTTCAGACACTCAGAGGCTGTTGTTAGATCATGGCCTTTGAATTTGCTATGGCCCTCAATGTTATCTTTCTTCCAGTGGATCTTTTGTAACACATAAGTCTCATCCCATGAGAGGTCGTCCTCTGACTAGCCAATATAGCCATTACTCTGCTTGAATTTCTTCATTGCACATATGACCTGGTTGTCCCATTGGTCTCTAAAAATGTTTAGCTTACTAAATACTCAAAAGAATACAAACCTCCTGGGACCTGAGCCTTATGCATTTCCCTCCACAATCTATTTTCAGAGTCCAGATTAGAACTGACACACAGCAGATACTCATCATGGGCTGAATAATGTCATGAACGGTGTCAAACAGGAATCTCTTGACTTTCTGTGTCTCTTTGGTAATTCAGTTTGCTTTCGTCATTTGCCATTTCACTCACTTGGTGTAGTAGATGTACTTATTTTCTTCTTAGTCAATTTTTTTAACTTTAAAGTTGCAGATTGCTAAAACATTTTAATAAAACATTCATTTAACTTTATTATAGCTTTGTAATCCCATCCATAAATTCTTTAAAACTTAAATTCTGATAGATAGGATTAGATAGGATTAGACTTGCTTCTATATGTATGTTTCATGGCCCACATAATTTCTGTATAATTGCTGCTTGGCATAAAAATACCATATAACAAATTATCTTAAAAACATTTGCTTTTGCTCAAGAGCCTATGCTTTGGCTATGTGCTGGCAGATTCCTTTGTTGGGGGCCAATTCAACAAGTCTCCTAGCTTCTAGGGGACCAGTAAGCTAATGTGAGTATATTCTTCTCATGATGACAGGATACTGAAAGTGACATGGAAATAACCAATAGCCTCTTAAACCTATGTTTGGAAATGGCCTGCTGTCACTTGTGTGTCATTTTATGGTTAAAGCAGGTCATGCTTTTGAATCTAAAGTTGAAGGGCAGGAACTTCAAGTCACATGGGGATCATTAGACACACAGAGGAAAAAGAATTGAAGACAACAATGCAACAAAACCAAACTACAGGGAGTAACTTTTCAATGCAAAATTTGACAAAATTTGACAATTTTACAACGTGCTTTTCTTTGTAAAGTAGTAGTATTTGTATCCCTCAATACAGTGGTGAAAGACAGGAGAGTGTGAACTGTATTTATGAGGTACACACACTCTCATGTTCACACAAATTTATTCAGGATATACTGCCCCTCAGACATGCTATCCCTGTATTTCCTTATAGCTGACAAACACCTTCCCATGATGGTCACATAGGCAGGAAAGGGTCCTAGAAGTATCCTCAGTGAGATCAAACAAGGTCTTTGGAAGGATTCACATGTCTAAAAGGGCTCAC